GGGGGGGGGTAGGTAGGTAGGTAGGCAGGCAGGCAGGCAGGCAGGCAGGGAGGTAGGTAGGTAGGTAGGTAGGTAGGTAGGTAGGTAGGTAGGTGGGTGGGTAGGCAGGTAGGGTCGGTGGGTGGGTGGGTGGGTGGGTGGGTGGGTGGCTATATAGCTATAGGCAGGTAGGTAGGTAGGTAGGTAGGTAGGTAGGTAGGTCGGTAGGTAGGTCGGTAGGAGGTAAGTCGGTAGGTAGGTAGGTAGGTAGGTAGGCAGGTAATTAGGTAGGTAGGTAGGTAGGTAGGTAGGTAGGTCGGTAGGTAGGTGGGTGGGTAGGCAGGTAGGCAGGTAGGTAGGTCGCTGGGTGGGTGGGTGGGTGGGTGGGTGGCTATATAGCTACCTAGCAGGCTAGCTAGGTCGGGTAGGCAGGTGGACATGTTATATGTATGATTTGTATGTATATCTACATACCGATTTATGTGCATGTAAACAATGTACTCAACCAAACATAACATACAGGAACGCAGGCAAACAACCATGTGCGCACAAACAGACGTGCAAAAAGTAAAACTGCATACATACATGCATGCATGCGTACATATACACATACTTCTGTTCATGCAAGTTTGCATATGTGCTTTGTGTATTATGTGTTTATGCACAAGGCCTTAACGGAAGCGTCGTCTCGCTGACCCGGGCAATGGCGCGCCGGAGGCTCATCGCGACGGGAGCAGAGCCTCCGCCCACGAAAAGCAAACACGAAACCCATGCATTTAGGGCTTTAGGGGTTTAGGAGCTCCCATCCGGGTGGGAAAAACCTCGTCCGGCCTTCTGGCAGATCCGGGGATACTCCTTGGAGGAGCTGACTGCGCTCTGAGCCAGGTTGTAGCCAACGACTTCTTGGGCGGGGGTGCAGCGTGTTGAATTCTTGTGACGCACCTACACTGCAGCATGCACTCGCGCCTTCATTTTGCTGTCGGACACTTGTGTTCCTAACTACACTAAAGCAAGGCCGAGTTGTTTGCGACCGGAGGGTTCATCGATATTCATCGTGGAACGAACGTCGAGAAGATTGCAGCCAAGCAGGAAGCGCACAGCAGGTTGAGGTCTTCTGACTTCTGTCACCCTGCAAAAGGTACGAGTATAGGCAGCATAGGTATAGGCCTCCCAGCTTGTGCAATCTTCGCGCTGGGGCTGCACAAGATGCGTCCGACACATCCCGCGAGTCCCAGCTGCAGGCCCCAGAGGAACTGCGATCTGGAGAGCCTTGGAGCCGGAGCCCTTGGCCCTTGAGGGACGCCAGCTCTCATCCGAGAGCAATGGGCAACCTGAGCTTCAGTCGGATGTCAAGACCACCGACAGGACCCGTTGCCAGGCAAATGCAGCCGAGTGATGGGCCAGGATTGTTTAAGTCTTGCCCCGCTCAACAAACTATCGCGACAGGCAGCAGGGTGACGATATGATAATCTCGTGCAGAACTTTTTTGCCCAGAGCGGCGGGTCGCTGACGAGGAGTAGACAAAGGTCTGTCTATCTCCAGCGTCGTGTCAACACTGAACTTGGCTTTCTACACCGGTTGATCAAGAGAGCCCCACTCTCCTAGCCTGAGGTCTCTCTGCATCATGCATGTAAAGGCTGCAAAAAGGTCTTCGATGCTACAGGCTTTCATTCGAGTTTTCCTTGCTCCGATTCTTGTGGCAGACCGCAGACTTCAAAGCTCGGGCCTAGGTCCCTGGGTGAGTGGGCCCTGTCTACACTACCCTGACAAAATGAAACATACTGCAGCTCTCTGACTTACTCAGCCACATTGCAAAGATCTTGCAAAGGTCGTTGTACCGGACTTGCACGGCAGCGAAGATCCACAACGAGTTGGCTGGACACAGGCAGCTGAATTCGTCAACTCCGACGCTCGAGGGCTGGAACGCCGGCCGCAGGCCTGAAATCAGACCTTTTCTTGTCCGGCATGCTCTCAATGCTAATGCTAGTGATAATGTTCCACTTCAGCCACCAATAGTTGGCGCATCCGTTGTTGAGCTTCTCTCGCAAAATGCAAGAGTTATCTTGCTCCTGTATGCAGTAAAGCTCTCCTTTAAGCTCTTCGCCTGCGTTGGTTGTCAACTTCAACTCTGCACCCAAGAAGTGATCAGAGCCCTTCGAGCGGATGTAGTTCTCCATCTGCTCGTGACTCGCTGGCTTGACGGTCACATGTATGGTGCAATCACCTAGGGTGGTCAACTCCTTTTTGGTGTCCTGAAGCGCTGCACCATCTTTCGCGAGACTGATAAGCTCTTCTGGCACGTGGAACTCCTCCGCCAGGTTCGCTGTCAAGGTGGCAATGGTGTCGCTCTGGCTCGGCTGGGTGCGGATGACCTCATCCCGATTCGAACACACCAGCTTCGGCAGCGGAGGTTGGTTCCGCATATGTGGCGGTCGGTACGGCGCCATGGCTCAGATCTCAGATCTCGAAAGACCTGACGAGACCCTGGCCTGGCTTGGGCAACAATGCTCACTGAGAGACCAGGAACGTCTGCTGCGTGGAGACTTCCGCAACTTCCGATAAACGAACTAAAGCAGCCACTGCACATCCAGCCCAGTCCGAGTTGCACGTGGAGGAGCAACAAGCAGAATGGACCTCGGGAGGGACAACACCATGCACCCAGGCCCCAAGGTGGCCCAAGGCTGAACTTACCAGCACGTTGCATGCTGGGGCCCAGCAGGATCTTCAGGAGAATTGGCCGGTCAGGAGCTGCGTCCAGGAGCCCCACAAACGAACATCCTGCCAAGAAAGCACAGCTTCCCATAGCTATCTTGTTCAGGGGGTGCCTGGGCAGAAGCTGAGAAATCTCAGAGAAATCCTTAACTGAATACCCTGAGTTTAGGCCTGGCTTTGTTCGGTCTTGTGCAAGTGTTGCTTGTCGTGAGTTCCTTAGCCTCTGCTGGGGTTTGCATTGTTCTTACTTGTGTTCTCACCCCTCACTGCGGGGTTGCCAGATTCAATGGCAAGCCATGTTCCTTGCCCGACCTCCCTCGCCCACCCTCGGATTAGCCCATCCCCATAGTGTCCCCTAGGCGGCGCGTCTGTTTTCGTTTTCAGGCTTGTAGGCTTCGGGGGCTGGGATGAGCTTTGGGATTTAATTTGGGGATGTGACTGTAGTGGGATCTACGGTCCAAGGTCAAGGGGATTTACCGTTGATCGGCAAGTTGCTGCACGAAATCTGTTGCTTCACTTAACTGTGTTTAAATTCTCTCTGCTTTCTTTGGTGGCGGTACTTTTCCGTAACTTTGCCCTCTGAACAAAAACTCATTGATTGATCGATTGTGCCAACAGACTAATTGATTGAGTGATTGACTGAATGATTGGCTCGCTTGCTTGCCTGCATGGCTGGATGGTTGGTCGGCTGGTTGGCTGGTGGAGGCGCTGCCTTCGCCGAGACTATACGCAGCAAGGGTAGCACCCCACCCCAGTGCGACACGTCAATCTACAAAAGGCACCCCATGCAAAGTGAATCCCCAAGGTTACGCGTCTGCGACGTCATGTTCTGAAACGTGTGCGAAAACATGAAACTGTGTGTTGTGCGGGGCATGGTTCCATACTTTGGTGTATGATCGCAATCACAAAGTAGACGCCAAGGCAAAAACGGTCGGAAAATACGATCAATCAGCAACGTTGCGCCTCGTTTTCGAACTGATTACGCTGCCAATTAAGAGCATGTGTAAGTGGATTATGGAATGCTTCTGTTCCCATATGCGAGCAACTTTCCTTCGGCTGATGCTGGCCTGGCCTCTCTTTATGGTGGCCCGGCTTTATGCTGTTCGAGGGGTAGAGGGAAGCGAGGAGGGTCTCTTAAGGCTAAGGGGAATGGACAAAGACTCTTTTAAACTTGCGGAAAGAAGAGGTCAGGCTTCCTCGAAATCCCAAAGCTGAGATCTGCTGAGCCTTGTCATCCTGGTCTCCGTCGGCAGCAACCCGAGCTCCGACTCGGAAGCTCAGCCTCCGGATGTTACTGGGCTCCAAGATCCTACTGTTGACTTAGTTTGGGTGGTTGTCAAAATTAGGGTCCCTTTTTGGAGGTGCCGTATTATATTACGGACCCAACAAGGGACCATAATTTTGACAACCACCCGTTTAAGCATCTGCGGTTTGCCGAATGAGAGCGTGAGCCAGAAGCTGAGAGCACAGCTCGCACCTGGGCACGAGGATTTGAAGGGAACGACCCGGAACCGATGGGAAGAAGGGACCGCAGGCTGCGAACCGGTGTCCTGTAGTACTATAGATTTTGCAGAAGTAGGTGCATCGGCTGAAGTGCAACTGACAACCAACGAATTTAGGCAGCATACCCTTGTGGAAGGCCGCTCACCAACACCTGCCACACTTGCAGAGCAAGCTGAACACGGTTCGGGCGCAAAGGTTCGAATTGTCGCCATGAGGACTAGGGCTGTCTGACACCGAGGCTGAATTAGGTTTCAAGTTTAGACAATCGCTCCGGGACCCTGCGTTTGTCGATTTCGCATGGCTTGCATCTTGTCTAACGGCACCAACACTGAAACACGACCGTCACTCAACCAATCGTGCCCGCTGCACATCAAGTACGAAGCTGACCTGGAAAAGTGCAAGCCGGACTGGACAATGCTAGGGCATGACCCCATAATTCCAACGTGCAGTCGTAATTCTCGGAAACGGCCCCCTGCCCCCCCTTATGGATTACATCCGCAGTGTCTTCGCTGCCTTATTCGCCGCCGAGATCTTGTGGCCCTTCTTGGGATTCGTAGCGCCCTGCCGCAAATGGAAGAGGCTCCGTCAGATCCGTCATACTCCAAGGAGCATGACATTAGCACAGGGAGCTTTGGACCTCAGGAGTGCGCCACTCCACGTTGTAGGCCACACGCTTCTCCTAAGACGGCGCAATGAGACGGGGAAACAGAGGGCTCCACTTTCAGAGAGCAGCTGCGGCCTTTCGGAGGCCAAGCCAGGAAAGCTCGAGGGCTCCCTCGAACTCCCCGGTGATGTTCAACTCCGCCCACTGTGCAAACAAACGGGTGCCGATGAAGACCTCATGCAGACATAGCACACGGCTTCTGCACCGCCAGAAACTCTCCGTGCTTCCGGCCCAACAGCCATGCATCTTCTTCTCAACGTCGTCGACTGCAGCGAGCTGCAACCAGCCTCCAAATGTCACACAAACAAACATGAAGCCGTTACACGTGACATCGCAGAAACTAGGAAGCTGTCTTCCTGCGAAGGCGTCGCAAGTCTCGTTTTTGCTTCACGGTTGTTTCTGGCCAACTGGGCGGAATCGAAGTCTCGTTTCCTTCTGTCAATCTTGAGCACTCAGAATCTCTAGCCTGTACTCTACTAGTTACTAGGACTGCAATTGCACTGCGCCTCCGCCGGGATAACCGAGAACCAAACGACCTTCAGGGTGGCAACATGTGGCAACCCCTCTCCCAGACTCAATGACCCAGCACGAAAGCTCACTCCAAAACTCCCGTCCATAAACCCATCCCAATGATGAAATCATAGTGTCCGAACCCTTCGCCCTTCGCCGTTGCAGCAGCAGCAGCAGCAGCAGCAGCAGCAGCAGCAGCAGCAGCAGGAGTAGCAGGAATAACAATGATAGCAGTAGTAGTTGTCGTTGTTGCTGTCGTTGGCGTCGTCGTTGCTGTGTTTGCTTTTGCTTCTGCTGTTGTTTATTGTTGTTATTGCTGTTCTTCTTGTTGTTGTTGTCGTTGTTCTTACTATGTTTGCTCGTGCTGTTGCTCTCTAGCTCTTGTTGATGTCGTTGTCGTTGGTGGTGGTGCTGGTGCTGGTGCTGGTGCTGGTGCCGGTGCCGGTGGTGTCTTTGCTGTTGCAGTTGCAGTTGCAGCTGTTGCTGTTGTTGCTTTTGTTGCGACTGTGGTTGTGTTGGTAATACCAGCAACGGGACGAGCACGAAAGACAAGAAAAGCTCGCAGCAAAAGCTTAGGAAAAGCTCGAAGATCGTAATAGCGTGAGCCGCGCGAAGATTCGGGCTAACCGCCCTTGCTCTGCCACGCTACTAGCATTATTCGATCTTGTTGTTACATTTTGATAGGGGCTTGCCAGACACACAGGCTCGCCTGGACCCTTCGACCCTGGATGGCCTCTCTCAAGCTTGCCGACTTCGGGCGACTGCACCAGTGGCTCTCGTCTCACCGGAGCGGCATGGTCTTGGGCAAGCACTTTGTACTCGATGGGTCCAGAAAGTACGTTCCGAGCTTGTTGAGCTGCCTTCATGCGTGAATCCACCTTTGCTGGGTCGGATATCGCCGTTGCTGTGACCTCCTTAGCATCATGCTTGGCGTCCGGTTCCTTCTTCGAGTCCTTTTTGGAGTCTTTCGCTTCATGGCCTTCACTCGGGCCGCCTGTCTTCTCCTCTGTGGGGCCGGCGAGATCGGCTACGGAAGCTTCTTCAGGTTGCTGCTTCGCATGGAAGGACTCCAGCGTCTTGCGGCCGTCATTGTCCAATGGTCTCAGAAGATCCTGGAGCCCTAGGGGTTCCCCATCAATCAGCGCCCAAGCCTCCTCGCCGATGTCTGCGAGTTTCTTCCTGGAGCTCTCCTCAAAACGGAGCCATGCGTAGCCACCAACTTTATGGGGTGTTCCCATGAGTATTCGGCCTTCATGCACCACTCCAATAATCTTGCCCTTCAAAGAAGGCGAAGCCCTGACTGCCACTTTTCCATGTGCCACTTCATATCGCCCTGCATAGCCCAAAGCCTGCGGCTGGCGTTCTACAGCCGGGACGAGGTTGAGCTCGTGAATCAGTGCCCAAGCCGAATCTGCAAGAGCACCCATGGCATGGCAGCTTCGTGACGAAACATGGAGCCATTGCTGTCCGCCTGTACTTTCCTGTACTGCCCCCAGCAGTTGTGCGCCTTTGCTGGCAGCCCCGACAAGTCTGGACTCTTTTGAAGGCAGTTCCCACAATGGCACCTGGTGAGCAACATCAAAGCAATGCGGCTCTTCGTGGAAGAAATTGCTATTGCTCTCCTCTTTGGGATTCGACTCTTTCACTTGCGAGTCCTTTGCCGAGTCAGGACTTACAGGCTTTGCTGCATCCCGGACATGGCTCTCCTCTTCCTTCTGCGACTGGACTGCTTCACCTTCTTCCACCCTGGCTGCGGCATCGCCAGCAGTGTCCCTGCCTGATTCTGGCTCATTGCGTGGTGAATCAGGCGGTGCTTCATCTGCTCGTCTCAGTTTGGCAGCTCTCTGCCGCGCCTCCTCTGCGAGCCTCTCCAGCTCATCAGCTTGGCCTTGACCTGCTTTTTCGCACGTCTCAGTCCTTAGATCCTCACCATCCAGCTCTGCTTGAACTTGAGCTTGACTGTCCTCGGCACTCTTGGGAACCTCTGTCTGGCTCAGCTGCGCCGCTTCCCTCTGTTCGGCCTCTGCTTTCTGCGATTCTTCTTCTGCTTTTCTCCTGGATTCAGCCTCCAGACGTCTGGCTTCTTCCTCCGCATGCTTCTGAGCTTCAGCTTCTGCTTTCCGCTTCGCTTCTTCCTCCACACGTTTCTGAGCTTCAGCTTCTGCTTTCCGCTTCGCTTCTTCCTCCGCGATTCTGCGCGCTTCCGCCTCTGCTCTCTGTCGGTCCTCCTCGGCCTTCTTCGCCGCTTCGGCCTGCCTCGCTTCCTCGGCTTTCCTCCTCTCCTCGGCCGCCGCGGCCTTCCGGGATTCTTCGGCCTTTCTCTTGGCTTCCTCCTCGGCTCGCGCAGCTTCCGCCTGCGCAGGGAGACAACAAAAAAACAGCGGCAAAAACGGGCTGCACGGAGTCACGGAGCGTCTGCTCGGCGAGGAGCCCAGCCCAGGAGCCCGGCCTCGGCAGCCTTCCGCGCCGCCCACTCCTCTTCGCACGCGCGCGGCGCACGCAAAGGAAGTCTCTGGCTGCTGTTAGTGCCGTGCGCGCCTCGGCTGTGGGGACGCCGAAGTAGGCTCCGGCTGGAGCGCCGCAGAGACGCTCGACCTCGAGGTTGTGATTTAGGGCTTAAGACGTTCAAGGTTCAGCTCAAACCTGATCGTGTCCGATCAGCTCACGCAACGCTTCTTGCGAAAGTCTTGGACATGAAATGCGCTAGAGCTAGAGGTTGGATTAGCGCCCCACTCTGCCTCGTGGCAACAAGAACGCACGTAGTCGTTGTCCGCAAACTCCCTCGCACTTTCACATCATTCAAAGCACTGATTCAACTGCACACAGCCGAATGTGGCAATGGATCCCCGTGCAAGAGCATTGCCTGATGCCAGACTTCATGGCATTGTACCCATCCTCACTGGGATGTGAGCTGAGCACAGTGCATATAGTCTGTTTTCCATTTGCCAACCTCGGTGGTGGGAAAGTCGAACCTTTTCATGATGGGGTTCCACTCCTGCCAGCAAGAAGTGACAACCAAGCATCAAATGCCCAGCTTTCCAATTTGAGCCTGCGTGATCAACACCCTCCGATGCTGCTCCATGTGCATCCCGCCGCGCTGCTCGATGTTTTGCATGGTCCTGCTTCTATTTGTAAATGTGTAAGCCCCTCGAAAATGAGAGGAACAAAAAGGTCAGTCAAAGTCAAGTGAAGCCCGCTCCTCATGACGGCAGGCGTCAGAAGTGACTCCTTGAAGGCCTGCTGGATTGCTCAGAGCACGGGCTTCCAGAAGAGTCGCGGACACGCGCACGCCTTGAGGATCTCCTTCGCCTCGCCTAAGAACATGGGCCGTCCACGGATCTGTCGAGGAAAGGTTTCCTGCACTGAGAGACATGACCAGCTCTAGAGCTGCAAGGCTAAAAGCAAACCGACGCCTGAGCACACTCTTTTGAGCACATCTACACAACGAGTGAAGACTTTCGGTGCCTGCCGGTTCTTTGTCGAGGTTGGAGCAGGCATCGGATTCTCAAGGATCTTTCGGCTCGTTTCGATCTGACAGATCACCGCGTGTATAAAGACGCAAGTCTCGACAGCCGTTAGACCTAGACTTGTTCCGCCTCCTCCTGCTTCCAGCTCTTGCCCTCACCATTCGTGCTGGCCTTTTTCAGCTTTTACTGCTGGCTGCAACACGTCTTGACGGCCACTCTTTCAGATGCATGAGCTCTCCGCGGTTAGTCTGAACAGTGCTCCAGGCACCATGCGCAGCTGGCGCTCCACCTGGCCGCACCCACAAGTTGCAATCCTCCACCTCAAAAACTCAAAAGATGATCGAACAACCTGGCAAAAAATCTGCCAAGATGCGGCGTGTGAAAGCTTGCGCCTGTGCTTTGTTCTGAACCCTGATCACCGGGCCTCATGCGAGACGAGTCGGATGCCTGGTTGGTGCCCGTGCTCCTGAAACACAGAGTCATCATTGATCAAATTCGATATGTAACCGAACAGCTGCATACGTGTAGATGTATACATCTGTACCTGTGTAACTACACGTGCGCTCTGCGAATGTGCACTGCAACCCCTAGAAATGAGGCTGGTGTTTCACTCAAAAGCCCAAAGGACGAGAATCCACCATCTTGCTTACCAGATACCAAGGACCCGAGCAGGCAGCTAAGTATGTCCACAACGCAACTTTCTGTCGACTACCAGCTACTAGTTTCCTGCCGAACAAAACTCAGCAAAGCTCAACCGGCCGTGCCGTACAAATTGAAGATTCCAATCAGTAGTGATGCATATATGCATATGTGCATATACATTTTTACTGGCTGGCCGGCTGACTAAGTGACTCAATCAATAAACGGCTGAATGACTGACTGAATACCTGAATGGCCGAATGACTGAATACATTCATGCATGTTAATATGACTGACAGGCTGATGGACGGACGGAGGGACCCACTGAATAGTGCATGAACGACTAAATGAACTTGTTTTTATGTACAAGTAGCAGTGGCATTAGTGTGTGCGCGCAGGTAGGTAGGTCGTTAGGTACGTAGGCAGGTCAAGACGTAAAGCCGCAGAAGCAAAGTACAGGAAATTGCACGAAAGTAAATCTTTACTCTGCATGAACTCCGCTGGACGAGTGCATCGTACACATGGCAGCTGCAGCACTTCAGTGTTTAGGTCAGGGCACCCTCAGCATCTAGAACAGTGAGTCAACGGTTAGCCATACAGGGAGATGGCGCAAGGCCACGACTCCTGGTGAGTGCTCCGGGCTCCATGACAGCTCTGCGCCCTTTCCTAGCTGCGCGCGGAGCTGCCACACTTCTTTCCAGTGCTGCGGCCCCTTGGTTTCACAATGCTTAGAAGGAGTTTTGTCTACTCCTTCCACCTCTGGCAACGAACCTCGCCCAGCATTGCGTGGAGGCACGAAAAACGGAGTTGCCGCACTAAGGAATTCTGCGAGCTGACATGCCCTAGAGACATGCGACCCTCTCTTCCAATGCCAAGCGTTGGGCATTGTGCAGACCACTACTACTTCGAGTGTGGATGCGAGCTTTGGTCTCATTGTCTAGCACGCGAAGTCAGATCAGTGCCACCGTCATCGTGCCTCACTTTCCGACTGATGCTGGATTCCCTGTGATGCATTACTTTCATGCTGCTGTGGAACTGGGGCTCTAATCTCCCCTGCTTTCTTTGCACCGCTGTCATATACATCCCAAACCTCACAGGCACCTCAGCAGTTAGCACAAGGCTCCGGACTTTCAGATTCGTGAGCCGTCTGCCGCAGCGACAGAGCCTCGAAAGATCACTGCGGCAAGTCTGATGACTTCCCATGGCAAGCGACGACCAAACCTCCTCCTCATCGTTACAGCCATCGGGTCGACCTAACAGAATGGCAGGGGCGCTGTGGGGCCTGAGACACGAGGGCCACGAGCGGCGAGCCTCGCAGGAAAATGAACGTCGCCCTGACCGCGAGAAGCAGCAATGCTGCTGCACCCAGCGGCCTCAGCTTGCGACTGAGCTGGACTGGTCACTGCAACCACTGCGACAGCGACCTTCGACAGAGGCTATGCTTGGCCTCGCGCAGACTCACCGCCATCGCAAGCGAAGCAAACCTTCGAAGCGGCCAGAATCCCGGCTACCCGTGCCACCCCTGCTGAGCTCCAGCCTTTGGTTTGGCCTGGGATGGCGGTCCTTCCGACACTACTCTGACAGAACTCCATGTGGCAAACTGGCGCTGGCGGCGATTCCTGGTCGTCTTTGATCGCGAACTTAGTTTCAGCCTCTGTGTCATCGAAGTTCACAGAAACTTCCTTTCTCCTGAGAAGAAGCCAGTGACGAATTATTACCGGGTGTTCTTGTCTAGCCGTGAATGCTTCAAGAGCTCCTCCGAAAGAGACTTCGACGCCCTTCTCAGGATTTGCAACGACTGAGCCCTGCACTTCTCCGCATCCAGGATGAGACGCTGCTTGATTTCCGGCTGCGGCAGGAGATGAACATCTGGCAACGCCATAGGACGGATGCGGCCACTCCTGAGCTTGCATCCACTGCCCGAGAATTCTGAAACGAGTACCACAGTGCAAGAAAGGTTTTGGCTTACTCCCTTCAAAGCAAGTGTTCAGTCAACAGTCCAGGGCTTGCGGCGAGCTTGAAGCTAGCTCGCCAGCTTAAACAACCACAAGTGTGTCAGTCATCAGAAGCTGAGCCCGCAAGACATGCAGGTGAGATCGAGATGCCGAGTCACGTGTAAAATTCGACGTCGCCGTGGGGAAGAGTTGCCAAGTAGCACCGTGCCCACTGGCAATGTGTTGGCCTTGAGAAACAATCTGGTGCTAAAACTTCCGCCAAATTGAATCTGCTGCTGAGCTCTTGCTGTGCATTGTTATCGTCTCTGTTTTTTCGTCTGTATGCACAGCTCACTTGGAATCTTCGTGCTAGCCACGACAGCATGGCATGAGGCACTGAGGTCGGCATTCTACCGATGCTTGACGACACCGGTGCACATGCGACAAGCACGTCCATCTTGGTCGCTGGTTTCTGGCAGGAGTAGCTGGGACGTCAGTTGGGCAACGACCGTCTCCCAACACCCCACGGTGCAGTGCAAAGACTGAGGGAGGCATGCCATCCCAACACTCTCAACCATTCTAGAAGCTTCAAATTCGTTTGTTGACAACAAACTACGATCAAGGTTAAGATTTTTCAAGCTAGCCCACTGCCTCCAAGAACCTGACAAACCCATTTCCATTTGCACCAGACCGTCTGCGCGACCCCGCAGATCGATGCCACCAAACTGGGGCCGTCCCAAGTCCGACGATCTGATGGCATAAAAACAAGCCCAAATGTGAGAGGTTCCTCGGTCTCCAAACGAGGCTTGCGTCCCTTTCGTGGAATGGGCCGATCTTCATTTCCAACCGCAGCTCTACTCGAGGCCCATCCCCTTTCATGTCAGGATGGTCGCATGGATGTCGGAAAATGTCCGAACTTCACGTCTGACGTTCTGATTTGTGCGTGGTAAGTTTACTCCTACGGGTGGAGCAGGATATTGATAGTCGCTCCAGGTTAGTGCTCTAGCTGCGTTTCAGCTCCATGGTTTGTGTCCACTAGGCCGCTGCATTGCACGGCGTCCCCCGCCTTTCAGACTTGAAATCATTGATGGTCGGGGTGGACGGCCGCCGAGTGCACGAAAAGACTTTGATTCAGGAAATTGCATGCCACTTGTCTGGAGCTTAAGCTCAGAATTGCTCACGGGATTCACGCTTAAACTTAAACGGTCGCACATTCCACGCACAGCCAAAACTACTGCAGCTTGGAATTGAAGCGACAAGCAGCGCGTCTGCAGCCAAGATGCTGATGACATATCTTTGAGCCATCGAGCATGACTTGGCAGACCTTGTGCTTCAAACAGGCTTCGGCTTCAACAAACGTTCTTCATAACCATGAGAGTGCCTGGTGTTGAAAGAGCTGGTTCTGTTTGCTGATGACAACGGTCAACACCTGCAAGCAGTTAGTGTTTCAGGATCATCTCCTTCAGCCTGTGGAGGCCTTTCTGATGTCGGTGAAGGCCGATATCTCCAGTGCGGCATAGGCCTGCGCAAAGAAACTCCAACGATTACATGCCGAGATCTTCTGTGCCTAGTGGCAAGCCAAGCAAGTGCTTCTCTTGCGATGTCACGAGTGCTCCCGATGGCAGAACTTCAACACACATCAGCCACCGTTTCGCCCAGCGGACCGGATGTCCATCAATGATGTAAACGCCGATGCCCACTCCGAAGTGGTTGAAGACTTGCCTGCGACAGTGATGAACTTCCTCGACGGAGCTGGGGAACGATTTTCGATTTCGCATGTCGCAACAGCCCAACCATCTTGACATCTGCCTTTCATAGCCGTCGTCATCAATCCCCACCCACCCTACCTCCAGGACCGAAGTCTACGGCTGCAAACGAATATCCACCTTACCCTTACCCTATTCGATAGAAAGGACATTGCACATTCAGGTTTGTCCAGAACGCTGCAAGTGCGAGATGAACCCGCTTAGGGTTTAGGGTTTAGAGGATTCTTGCAAAGGCATCATCTTCCAAGAGTCCCCCCACTTCCCAGGATAGCACGCCACCCCGGCCCTGAGTCCTCGGCCTCGACGAAACGAAAAGAACAGTAGAGTAGAGTCTAGTATATTACATGATATTCCTGAATTCCCAAGCTAAGCGTTCTGCTGCATGAGATGAGGTCGGCACGGCTGATGCGTGATGTCTGTCATTGTATGTCTCAGCCAACACCGCCGAACACAAAGAATAGAGACATGCGACCACCTGTCGCAAGAAAAGATCATTGAACGACACGCATGATTAGCTGCTATTCCCGACAATGCAGCATCTCAGTAACAAGAAAACGAGCAACCGCATGCAGCACTACATATCATTGCTGCTACAGAGACTAGTTCTGCTACACCACCGCTGTAACTATTTCGACTACGGCGACGACTACTTCTACTCCCATACACAAGTTGGAAGCATGCTATAGCACAAGAATGAGGATAGTAGACTGTGACAGCCAGGTTCAACGGAAACCCTCCTGAGAAGCAGCTCAAGTCTTCGATCAAACTGTAGTAGGAACCAAATTTCCAACATCATCGTCATGCTATCATGCTGATGTGAAAGAAGCACTGCGGTTCATAGGTACAAAAGAACAAGCACTCAGACTGCCAACGGATCGAGTTGCTCTCCTCACTCACCAAGTCCCGCGCGGAGGTACGACATACGCAGCATATCTGCTCCTTTGTGGGGTGCGGCAAGGAATCGCACGGCACTAGTAAACTTGTGGAGTCGTGACTCGCGATGACTCGCGAGCACTCACCTACGCGTTCAAGTTGCCAGCTGAAAGTGACTTAGACACGACTTGGCATGCCGTACATCGTACCTGATGAGTTCAGGGCCAACCATTGCAGCAGTCATCACAATGACAGAACATTGCGGCTGTAGCCTCTTTGGTGGCCCAGTTCTCTTACGACATCTGAGAAGCGGGCTCGAGATTCAGCCGCGAATGGTATGGTAGCTCCGCCTGGAAGAAATAAAGCCTCAGAGCTGCACAAGAAAAAGCCGTATCTATCGCATGCCCGCATTTAGCAGGCATTGTCCCAAACATAAGACCTGTAAAATCACGCAAGCCTCGCAAGCTTCAAGGCTACCATTACGACGTGATCAATGCATCGTGGGGAATCTCTGGATATATATATATATATATGTTTATTTATTTTTCAAAAGTATATATACACATACACATATCTTGAGAACCCTGCTGTCCATCCTCGCCATTCCAGACTAGAAGATGTCCATCCTGCCAGTGCAGAACATGCGCAGGGGAATTTTGATCTGCTGATCTTTGCCACTGGGGTTTTGACGACAATGTGCTCCACGGCAACGCCAAAGGCGATAATGTTGCGCCTGCCCATGGCCACCCGACAACCTTTACACTCTGGCTGGCGACAGGGGGCCGAGCCCATTCACGACAACGCCATGTTGGCTCCAGCACCTCAACCGGACTGCAGGAATCTGAGAGCCCCGACTTAATGAAACACTTTTTAATGTGTTTGCATTGTCAGGTCGTCGGGCTCAAACTGCTCCTGACCTGCAAACATGACACCTGACACAGGCGAAGCGTCTCTGAGGCACGTGCTTGTCTGACTTGAACTTGTGCTGGAACATGGGCTCTTTTTCGTTGTTGTTCGGCGTCTCAGGCGGAATAAATCATGGCTAAGAACGCGCGGACAGAGCTTCATACGGCTGAGTTCGGATGAGACACCATCGTGAAATTGGAGCAGTCGTCATGATCAGCATGCCAGGCCCACACCTGGAAAGCCGTCAAAAACTGCAATGAACAAATAGGAAAATTAACCCTCCGAGAAGTGGACATTGTCGATGATCAAATTGTCTGAGTTGAATTCCATAAGCGTGTTGGCTCCTCAAAAGAAAAGATCTGCATGTCTAGGCACAGGATGCACAGGAGAAACTTAGGCGAGTGCTGACGGGATCACAGCCCAGGTATTTGAAGGCTCCAACACGCGCAAAAACGTCAGATGCCTTGGATCTGCCCGAGTATGGCAACTGCACGCCACACTGGGAAAATGCAAGCTGAGCCCTCAACGACTCCGGTACTTGCTTCCGCCGATCTTGCATCGGTCTCGCTGCGGCTTCCCCATTGCAGCAGCGGCTCCCTGTAAAGCAATCGCTGGATCGGACATACGGTCACACTCCGGTGGTTCCTCAAAAGGCGAATCGTAAGGTTGAGACGCATAGAAGCCGAGGACAGGAGTGGCCGCATCCATCATGATGCCCGCGATCCCTGAAGATGTGGCTTCTACGTGGCACACGAAACAAATAGCAGGTCCTAGGTCACCGTGACCATTTCCGAACTTTGTTGTGTTTGGTGTCATCTTATTGTTGGAACACGGCTAGGTGCCGAACTCACATCGGTCAGAAAGTCGGTCACCTGCCACGGTCTCCGCTTTGCAAGCAGTCTTGACTGGAGGGAGACTTGACCGATGCCGGCGCCTGCAGACACGATCGTCCAGCTGGTGACACCAAGGTGGGGAAGCCTGGCGCTGAGCTATGCATAGCCTTGCTCGCTGTGTGATTACTATGAACTGCTAACATGAGGACATGGCTCTTGAGTGTCGTAGCTCCGTCAAAGAACAACAAAGCTTTCTCCCGCGGTTGAGCGACAGACTGTCAATGCCGGTGACTCTGCAACGGCCAAGGCAGCAGCCTATCCCGAGTAGCACGAAACCACTGGAAGTGATCACCAGAGGCTCGTCCAGACGGTAGATCTCAAAGGTGTCACAATGCTTTGGACAGCTGTTTGCTGCGCACGGATACCTCGCGAACATGTTCAATAAATTGAGCAGCCGGCACCGGGTGTCAGCAGCATGCCCTCCTGTGTGCAACGAAGTCTCCGGGGCTGTCACTGTGCTTTCGGACGCGCACTGTGTTGGTATCCGAATGCTTGCAACAGTTCTCGAAATCCGACCGCCACATGATCTGACTATATCTGACTGAATCTACCTTCATTTCATTGCGCTATGCTGGTGAAGCTTGTGCTGCACGACCGGGCGCCTTCGTCGCCATGCCTCGATTGATCTCCGAAGCCGACATGTCCGGAGTGGCAATGAACACCTTCTCCACATCCAGGGACTCTACAGAGAGCGGAGTGCATGTCGCCAACTCTTGCTCTACTTACTGACTAGCCCCGGTCACCGGTCAAAGTGATCAGGCAAGAAGAAACCAAGGACGGAGAGGCGTTCAGAATTGCATTGCGACTCGCATGGTGTCATGGCACAGGCCCTGACATCGGAATCGATGTAGAGCGCACGATCAATGTGTGATTCGCGGTCCTGGCGTCAAAAAAAACTGTGTGGCACTACTCGTACACTCTCCAGCCTGCAGTCACAAAAACTAAGCAGTAAGCTGAATTTGCCCCTTCGAGTCTTCGGGTCATGAAGCAGTCCTTGCCAATCGCACCGGGAGCTGGATTTTTCAGCATCTTCGGCACGTAGATCTTCCAATCGGATGTCTCCTGCGAACACACGGCAGCCCTTTCAACATCAGCAAGGCAGCGCAGCTGCCACATGTCCTCGAAGACAATGTATGGCTTCTCGGCAGATCCTTATGAGATATGGACGAACGTCAAGAGCACGCCGTGGCACCCGATCAGGCGGAGCTGAGGTCCAAGCTTGGTATGCCCGACACCTGCGAGATCTTGTCGGTCATGCCCTAGCCAGGGCCAGGAGACGGCAAAGACACTTACAAAGATCGCAGGGAGTCAAGGCTCCAGCTCCATCGCAAGCGTGCATGTCCTTCTTGTCAAGTCCGACAGCCTCAGTGCTGGCCCAGAGTTTGACGTACATGTGACTGTCCACTTGCCTCTTTTGGCTTCAAGCAAAGCTGTGATTGCTCTGAAACTGAAAGGCCAAGATGCACCCTGGAAAATGTAGTTCCAGCCGCCGGTGCAGCAAATTCCTCTGCACAGCAAAGCGTTTCAGCATTGATACACCTGAGGCACGTTTCGCTGTCCTTCCGGCGGCAGGGACACCTGCCGCGCATACCATTGCTGCTGGGTGCCCATCACCAGCTTCCCGTTCACCTGAGTTTGACTGGCAGAATGCCCGAGATTGTGCGGGCTTTTCGTGGCCTCCACGTCGCTCATGAAACCACCGCTGGAGTATCCCGCCTGTTGGGTCTGGGCAGGTGTTTGGGCACGCTCTGCGGAATCCGTGGTGAGGATCCTGTCATTCGTGAGAGGCAGAATCCTATCAATACTGAATATGTTTTTTGGTGCATCAACTTTAAACACCATGACTCTTTTTTTTGTTGCCTCAGCTGCTCGGCGCAGCCTGACGAGGCGCGCCTTGTGAGAGAGCCAGAGCTCGTACTTGACGATTGCTCTTCGAAGCGGTGCTGCCTGCACGGAAGAGTTCATATTTATCCATTTAAATCTATATGCACGCACAAGTGCATCCACACACACACAACATATATATATATATGTATATATCAAATAAAAATTTACATACATACATACATACATACATACATACAGACAGACAGACAGGCAGACAGGCAGACAGACATTACATTACCTTAGCTTACCTTAGCTTACCTTACGTTACGTACATACATACATACATACATACATACATACATACATACATACACACACATACATACACATATACACACACACACACACACGCGTGTTTATATATATATATATGTATATATATACATATATATACTTATTTATTTATTTATCTATTTATTTTCTTATTTATTAATTTTATTATTATTATTATGATGTGTATATTGCACGAGCAACTACTACTCTGTTGGGTCAGGCCTGTGAGACTGCCCACATGGTGCCTGAGCCGTTTAAGCCATGCAGACTGCAGCCACGCAGCCAGGTAGCTTCCAGCGATATCAGGTTGCTGGAAACAACGCTGATGCTATAAGACTTTCGGACAGCCACACATTGGAAATCAGCAACACACGTCTTTCACCATTTCTGCGTTCTTTGGAGTCCTGGTTTTGCGCTTGCTGTGTTGGGATATTCTTGGTATTTTGTCTGTGTATTGGTTTTTGTTCTTTGTTTGTGCTTTTGGGTAGTTGTGTTTGGCAGTGAGGGTTCAAGACGAGTTTCGCAGGAACGCTAGAAAAGGCAAACACACACACACACACAGAAAATCCTTGAGGCATCCGTCAAGAACCTGGTCTTTCGCAGGCACGGAGCCGCGGCCAAGATTTCGCATTTGTTGGCGTCGGTTTCTGCGTTTATTTGGAGTCCAAGTTGGTATTCCTGGAAGGTTTGTGCATCCAAGCTGGAAGCTAATTCGCTGTTGCTGCGAAGTGCTCGCATCCAAGCAAGTATCCCAGCAGTATCTGGAGGATGCTCTCTTACGACTCATAGGAGCGGACTGCACACACAAGCAGCCTATACACACAAGCAAACACACCAATACCACTCTTAAAGACACAAAGACCACACTCAGCATAAAACAACGCTCGAAAAATGCCAAACTCATACACCAAGCAAGTAAACACCAAACTAGATATTTGGCTGCAGCACAGTCCGCGGCCGCCAAGTTCTTCTAACACTAAAATGGTTATCACTAATTGTAATGGTTATAACTGCCACTCCTAACTCATAGTCGGCTCATGGTACTCGTTTGCTACTACTCTCATGACTGGGCGATGCTGAGGCTTCGGCGTCCCGCTGTCACGGTGACTCCTTCCAGCGAGCGCCAGAAGTTGTTCGTTGCCTGCAATTTGGGGGCTCAGGCTTTGTGGTCGGGGCTTATCATGGCAGAGATGTCCATGCTGATCGCCAGCTCGTGAGTCTAAGGACAAGTCTGCATTACTCAGTATGCATAAACAATCAACGATCAAGGACTCACAGCCATGAATGTCAAGGTCTCGGCTTGATCTGTGATGTCATTACTGACCTGAGCGAGGGGGGGCGGGTGTGGGCAACCTGCAGCAGCGGTGGTAAACACGCTGGGCTCTTGGCCCACGCATCCGGGACTACAACCTGAGACACGCCAAGCAACGACGAGAAGGCACGGCTGCAAGGGCCATTCAGCGCATGGCAGATTCAGGACCTCTGCCGACCCCAGCGACACTGGTGTAGTAGCCTGCACTTCAAGGCGACATTTGCAAGGCTTTGAACCAGTAGTATGAGCACACAGGGCAGCATGCTTGAGGTGGCGAATCCGCACTTGCCCATCATGTTTCTTTGAAGCGACGTTTCTGTGCTGAAGTGTTTGGCTCACGCATCGCATTGTTGGCTTCCCACAAAGGATGTTTCGCATTAGGAAGATCTCGGTCCAAAATGAGGGCGGGACTCTCACTTTGCAGTGACCCGCTGCAGCTTTTCCAGCAGGTCAAACCAATACATATATAAACAAGAGCAGTGCTTTCGGTCGAGTTCTCCGAGTCCTGCCAAGTTGCAAGCTCTTCCAGAAACTAGAAAAGAAAACCCTTTTCTTCCATGCTGCGTGCGTAGACTTGCTTGCACTAAATAGCATGTGACTTCCTGTAAACGCACATCTGCTTTCAGCCATCCCTTGCATACATGGGGGGGGAACGACGTGCTCGCTAGTTTTCGTTCCAGAGCGCTTGCGAGCTGCGAAATATCCCAAATCTGCTATGGAGATCTCACCGCATTTCAGACACGTTGACATGACAAGCTGCAACCCTGCCGGCTTCCGTGAAGAGCGCTCGGACCGTCAAGTGTCCACCTCCGTTTCACCGATTCTCTCCCCGTTGCAGCCCGATGGCTCACTGCCTGTTGCTTCGAGTGGTAAGGTCCCGATGGTGCTATGCTGCTATGCACCTCCTCATGACGAGCACCTCGAAGCCATCCTTATGAAAACCAGGCACTCACAAGGTGAACCCTGTGACAGCTGCTAGGTTCCACCATCAATCGCAGCACACTAAGTGAGCTGCTTCCTCAGCTAAACTCTGTGCATGCCCCAATGCCCTAACGTGGGTTCACAGCTCAGTGGCTTAAGGGACATGTCGGGTGGTCAAGCAGGCGTTGTCGTGCCAGTCCCTTCCCTCCCCAGCCTATTTCGATCCACATGTCATGAGGATAGACCTCAGGTCAGTCTCGGTCTGAGTCTCCGTGTCCCTTTTCGAGATCACCGACTCAAGGGCCAAGCCCCGGGTTTGAGCAAGACCGCGCGTCTTGCCTCGGACTGAAAGTCTGCATGGTCAAGCAGGAAATCCTAGGGCCTAGGTTTCAGGCAGGTCCAAAATGGGACGTCGCGTCTTTCACCTTGGACAGCTTTGCCTGAAGGGCGCTCGCATGGGCAAGGACAAACACCTTGCAATGCAACTCGCCTTGAGCTCTTTCGAGCTCATAGATGGGTCCAAGACCACGATCCTTAACAGCTTGTGTTTGACAGGCCCATGATGCCACTCGGACGTCGGACCGATCAACAACTGACAAATGCCGGGGGTCTCAGGTATCTTGCTATACCACTGGCTGCTTTCTCGTCCGTCCTCGAACGGCAGACACTTCTCGAGCGATGCGACAAGGAAAGCATGCTCGTTCCGGGCCTCGGCCTCATGGCTCTTCGCCAGTCCGACCAGAACCTGGTTCGTCTTCGCTTGTCTGGCTTTGGCTTTCAGATTCCAACTGCAACAGGTCTGAGGATGTCTGAGGGTTCGGCGACGAGTAGTCTCAAGATTGGCGGCGCTCTTTGGCGCACCATGAGCAGCCTGATAATCTGACTCACGAGGTGTGCTTTGAAAGCAGTTCTACTGGAATGATCAAAGCTGAGTCCACTGCGCTGCCCTTAACGGAGCTTGACCCCGTTGGCGGGAGCTGCGTAGGAGCCAAGGGCAGGCCGGACAGCGGCACTTTCGGAAGAGATCTCCAGTTCAACTCGGCTTCCAAAACACTATTGTATATTAATGTATATGTCGTATATTATGTACTATATTATGTTAGACTGACACTATATTTTGTTGATATTATAGTACTGCATATTTTAGTAGATTACATTGCTTACTATTCTAAGAATCCTCGGCCGTCCCTCTTGCACTAATCCGTCCTTGACGACTTGAAGAAGGTTAGGGAAGCCAGCACCGTCGATGCTGAAGCCGTGCTTTCTAAGAGTTGCCTTCAGGCTCAAGGGGCCAGCCAGAAGGGTGCTACACAACGGAATTGCGAGCTTGACCAGGCCTTCCAAAAGATGGAGAGCAGCTTCGCTACGGCCTGCACGGCAAGGTTTGAAGTGCACTCATTTCTGGCCCCGTGATGCCGGCCTCGCGTTTCTTGAAGGCCCCCCAGTCCATTCTCCGTAGCTCCGCTAAGTCCTGCTGGGCTAGGCTCACAAGCCAATCTTTGAAGCTTTGAAGGCACCGCCCCCGGGCCTTCTGGAACTTCGCACTGTTGGAAACGGTCCGAAGCTCCTTGCATTCTGTTCTTCGGGGCTCCGGAACTGACAACTTTCGGTCGCGGTGTTTGCTCAATCTTACAGGGAGACATGCAGAGGACCCGCGCCATCATGCACTCTCTATCACGACTTGAAAACGAACGACGAACCGCACGCATGCTTGGTTCACGAATCGGATCAACGGTTCTCGGCATGAACATGCTTCCTGTACTGGAAGTTAAAAAGAAGCATCCGATTTAAGTTCAGAGAACGGAAGCACTGTAAAGAGCACTTCTAAGAACGGCCCTAGCAAAGCCACAGATCGGAAGGCCTCCAGAAGACGCCGCACTTCGTCTAACGAGAGCTCCGGTGCCTTGCAATCCAAAAAGCCCGAGTCGTAGATGTGCTTGAAGCTTTCAACGTCGCAGAGTGTTGTATCTCGCATGCGTCTTGAGTTGGCGCTTCTTTGGGCATCGAGTACTCAATAGGATATCTAGAAGTATTGCAAGTATTGCTAGTATCCCCGTAATCAAATCCAAAATGGTAGACAGCAGTGTTCCTAAGGAGTCCTACTTCGCCGAATTATCCACCAAAAGCCTCATTCACAAAACCGCTACTTAGGCCCTACTTTCGCATTGATCGGCTGCGTTACGCTCTTGTTTTTGGGCCTTGCTGAAGTTTATTCAGGCTCAATGGCTAAGTTGTGCGTGAATATGGACAGACCCAAGTGTTGGATGTCGTGATGATCTCTGGATTACCATCTTTCATGCAGGATCATGACAATGAATACGTCCTTTGAGGTCATGACAAATGAGCCACATCGCTGAAAGTCCATGGCCGGCTTGGCCAAAACAACACTGCAGCACATGACCTAAGACGATTAAGCCGGTTGCCGGACTGTTCCCCTTGGTCCGCACTGGCCTCGACAGAATGCAAAAGGGGAAGGTGCTTTGAAAACGCCAACATCAGCGCATCGTCTGGCATTGGACTGCCATCCCAGTCTTAGCTCGCAGCGTGACTTTCGGAGCATCGCCAGGAGCCTCAGGGCTTCGCGGCCAGAAATCGAATCATGGAATCGGTTGTGTCAGAGCTCCAGCCTCGTCCGCGAAGCGGGAGAAGGCACCGGTCTTCGCTGGCCTTGCAACGAATGCTGTCGCTTGGTCCAAAGGAGTGCTTTTGCGACGCAGCTCCGATGCAGCAGCATGATTTTGGTACTATTGCTGCTGTAGCGGCGTAGTCGCTGCTGCAGCAAAGGCCCCAAAGGCACCTTGACAAGGCTTGAATCTGTAAACTCTAATGCGAAGGTCAGACGAGATCATGCGTTGCAGCACAAACACGAGCAGAGGCAGCTGCCACTTCTCCGGCCCATAGCTGACGGATATTGCTACCAGTGTCTCATGTCATCCGGAGCTGTGCTGTCCAGCAAGCAAACATGAAACCCGACACTTTGAAATGAGTCCTTTTGGGACACACATCTGAATCTGAAGTCAGGGTGCAAATTGGTGATCCTGAGTTGTCTTCTTGTATGCGACCAGCATGTGTGCGGCACGCGGCTTGAGCAATGGGAGAACGGGAACCCAGCCCACAGCAATTCTACGTAATGAATGCTCAGCACCCCGATAGGACACTTCCATCGTCCGCCGTTGGTCAAGGCAAACACTAACAAACTTCTCTGCCCGCGCACGAACGGCCAGCACGCCAGGCATCTACCTGTACAGTCGCGATGTCCTCCATAAAACTGGCCGGAGTGAGAAAACACGAGAAGGCTGTCCAGTTGACGTGACCTTGCGATCCCTGACTGAAACCCTATGGCGTCTTCATTGCCTGTTAGCGGTAGAGTCGGTAGAGTATATTAGTGTCTGGCATCTTGTCAACTGCTTTCTGCGATTTAATTTGCTCACATGTCAGTGGCTGCTCTGTGCCTTGGGTCACCTCAGCTCGATGAGCTGAAGGTGTTCCGAAGCTGCATGAAGTGCAGCAGCGAGATGCCGCGCAAGAAAGAGTACAAGGGACGTAGGAGCAACGAGGGACGACTGCTACCATCTCCGAATCACCTCCACGACAATGCCAATTCTGCCGCTCATTAGGCAGTTCCGAGTGGTGAGCGGGGCAGTGGCAGCGGACCCGGAGTGCGCACCTCCAAGGTTGAATCGGGACTGTCAAGCCAATGGTCTTCTTATCCTTTTTACTCACACAGTCACATAAAGTCCCTCCCCCAAAACAAGCGGTTTTCCAGCCTCACTGAGAGCTATGCGAGTTGCTTCGTCCTCAGTGAGCAAGCTGAGCTTGTTGCCGCAAAGGTCTTGTGTTGAGTGTAGCAGACACGTGCCAGGCGCTGCACCCAATCTTTGGTGACATGAATGTCCTCGCATGTAGTTCGTGCTTCGACTAAGATGGTTGATGCATCTGGCATGCTGCTACTAGTAGGCGAGGACCAAGGCTTGCGAAAAACAAAGAAGCACTGTACTCAAGGATTCGTCCTGCATCCCCCACTCTCGGCACACCTCTTCAGGCGCTCCTTTGCCACAAACCTGACAGCATTCTTCTGCGGACAGCAAGAATCAAAGAAGCACGAGTCTGATTAAGCAGTGTTGCTAAGCTTGTGACGATGAACTGCGGAGGGGGCACATGCTTCGAGGCACCTGAAATGCAAGTACGCCAAGCAAGCCGGAGTTCTGACCAAGCTGGGCACGATTCTGAAGACGGCCGAGAGAACAAGCATCCGACAGAATTGCTTGATGGCCACAGCGTCGTTCTTGTGGCGGCGATTCCTTGGCGCAAGTTGGAGACCAGAATTCAGCAGAGGGCCATCTCGCGAAACCAGCTCGGTTTACCTATTCAGGCGACGGCAGAATCAGGACAGCCACGCGCTCGTCCGACGCCGCACGCTGTTGCACGTAGGAGAGCCAAGGCCTGCGGTTTCGTGTTTGGGGTTCCCCAAGCCCCAAAGCCTAAAAGTCTGAAGGTCGGGGAGCACAAATGGCACGGAGCATGCAACACAGGGCATGACCACATGCAGCCAGCTTGAAATCTTGCGACGCTGGGGCGCACGCTTCGTCTCCTGCGTGCCATCGAAGCCTTGAAACGAAAGACCTGGAAACAAGCAACCAGGCTTTGTCCTGCAGAGTGCTGTTGTTTCTCGCACAACGTAACCAGTGTAAGCACCTGTGTGGCCATTCAACGTCGTTTTCCTGAGCCAACAGCACAGCATTTTCCGTTTGAGCCGATGACAAAGCGGTGACAACCTTTACACATGCGCTGAGCATGTCTGAGTTCGGTTCTGCCAGGCTTTCGGGTTGACGTCGACCCAAACCTGAAACGCGGTCTTCGTCAAAAGCAGGTCAAGACACAGTATTCTCAGTTGCCAACCACGCCGGGCTTAGCTGCAGCCTGGCACGATGTACAATACTCTACTATATTATACTAGAGTATCGTATATTCTAACAGTACTATATACTTCTACTATACTGATCTTATAGCTGTTATAGTATAGTCCAAGCTGAGCCTACTTCTCTCAGAGAGCCCCCAGGAATCGCAGCCTTCGGAGCTCTGGCAGGGGCACCGCTCCCGGGCGCGTCCGACGGATAGCCTGCAGTCTCGGAGCCGAGGCCACGGCTCTCACAGTGGAGTAGGGTTTAGGGTTTAGGGGTTTAGGGTTTAGGGGTTTCGGCTCTCACACTCGGACAATCCAGGCGAGGCATAAGGTACGAGGTCTTCCAAAGTGAAACCCACACACATGCCTCGAAATACACTTCAAAGGCCCTACAATAGAACCTCTAAGTCAACACTTTGCGCACGTGTGGCCACCAAAATCCGCTCTTCATCTGTAACTAGTTAGCGGACTTCGACGGCATGATACACAGGAGGAAACATCGATGAGGCTCGAGTAAGACAATTAGGGCAATAATGGGATAAACATCAAAGGGCCAGGGAGGACCCAGGTATACTTCTGTCCCCTCCTCAACCTAACTTGAGTGAAACTGGATTGCTGAAACATATACATGCCAACGACCGCCTTTTAATTACAGCTCTGGCAAGTTTGCAGTGAATTATGCCTTCTTCATGCTGCCAACTGCTTTCCTTTTTTCGTCATCAGCCCCCACGAGGTTCAATCACCAGCTTAGGCAGAAGATATTGTTGATCACCAGCATCACCACATAACCATCCACCAGATGCAGAATACTACCAGCAGTCGGTGATTGATCCTTGGGCCCACGCACCCAGTCAGCACATCTTCTCGCAGACTTTCGGAATATTTGGGTACAACACCTGTATACATGCTGGTCCAAATTCTCAAATTCCTGTGTCTTCTCCACATGCACTCATGCTGCATCTCCCCTGTATTCAGTTTGCATTGTTGCCTGACGCGACCAGTGCAAGTCTTGTCGGGCCACTCAACGTAGTTTCAGTACAGACCCAGGCAGCGTGCGTCCAATTCCACATGCATTCTTGCATGAACTTGTCGTAGCCTCGGTCAGCCTTTATCGACATAAATCTCAGCTGGCTTGTATCACATGCACTGAATTCCGTTGTGCCTCATCATTTTGCCCAAATGTCCGTTCTGAAAAAGCTTCTCGCGTGCTCGCATGGCATGCTCGAAGCCCCAAGCCAGACTGCTGGTTTAGGGGTTTAGGGGTTTAGGGTTTAGGGGTTTAGGGTTTAGTGGAAACATTACGGAACACTAGGAAGGACCCTAGAAGGGACCCTTAACCCTGGTACCCCATATAACCCCAAGGGTCCCTTTAAGGGTCGCTCCTTTCGTCCCTTGAAATCAGAAGCAGGGCCTGCCGCGGCTGGAGCCGCCTCGAGGTGGCGGAGGTTGGGGCACCAAAAGCAACAAAGACCCCTCATGGAGCCCTGAAAGGAACCTTTGTGAAGGATGAAGAAGAACCAGTGGCATGGGCATGCTGACCCCAAGAAGTTGTACACTAAAAGGCCGTTCAAGACACTGGGTGGGTGCCATCTGTCGCATGTTTGGGTGCATCAACTTCGGAAAACGTGGAAGCAGCACAAACAAACAGACAAAGAGGAACCCCTAAACCCTAAACCCTGAGCCGCTAAACAAAGACACCTCTCTTCATAGAGTGCAGTGCAGCGCAAGAGGCAGCGCAAGAAGCAGCCGGCCTTCGGGACGATAACGGTCGGAGCCGGAACCTCAACCATGCCAGCTTGGACTATGCTGTACTATCTATAATATAATATAATATGATATAATATAATATAATATAATATAATATAATATAATATAATACAATATGGTTTTGGTATAGTATGATATGCTATAATACGTATAACGTACAAAATGACTTCCGGCATCTTCAGAGACGCTTCAAAACCGTCATCCACAACTCTGCGCCCGGCAGGCACTGGCGGTGCCGGGGGAGCCGCCGGTTCCTGCAAGCATGCCACTCTCGATTGCAAAGTCACCACAAAACATATGGGAGCTTCCGAAAATTAGGGTACCTTATTTGGGGATCCTTATAATAAGGACCCTACTACTAAAGGTACTATATTTAGGGTCCCCTATTCTCGGAAACCCCCATATTGGCATTGAAGTGTATAAAACAAGTTCTCCTGTGTCTCTATCCTGAAGGATGCAGGCACGTTGCTGTAAATGCTCGCGAAAAGCTTCAATACCATGTGACCCTGTACATGGTGAGATTCGGTAGTTTACAAGTTTCATGTACCGGCAACGTCAATCATGCCACTACAACACGAAGTGAGTGAATTGCGAAGTGGCAGTCGCCCCGGTGCATGCTGTCGACACTTTTGCTTTGGCTCTCTGCACAAGTTTGGTTGCAGCTGCAGAACTTTGCCGCTTCGCTGCAGTTTGCTTCGTTGATGCCAAGTTTGCTGCAGCTTCGGCCTCTTCTAAGGCCGAGCTCGTAACAAGAGGCCCACCCAGCGCAGCAAAAATGCCATGCTTTGCTAAATGCTCCTCGTAAAGAGAAACCGCTGCAGCTGTGCATGGCACTTCCTCCTCGAGCCCATAAATGAAATTCCAGGTTTCTTCTTGGCTGGTGGAATGCTCCCAAAGATGTTCCAGCACAATTCCACAGGCTTCTAAGCGATCCATGGCCGATTCTGATAGAAGCCGATCGAGGATTTCTTGCTGGACTGCCGGCATATGCTCAGCCTTCTCCTCGTCGCTGAAACCCTCCAAGGCCGCCTCTGCTTCGTCTTGAGCTTTTTGTTGGAGTGTCGGGATTTGCACATCCAGCCACTCCCTTCCCTTCGCATCCAAGGCCAAGGCGCTCCCTTCTCCTGTCACATTCTCCTTCGAAAGGGCCGTCTCAACCTTGATTGCTTGGGCTTCCTTCGCTCTTTGGAGGGCATCGCTCATGTACTGCTTCTGCCACTTTGCCAAAGCCAGCTTCAATTTCTTGATTTGGGCAGCCCTTGCTTGTGAGTCTTCTGAATCAGCTTGGTGGGCTCGTTGCATCTCACGCTCAAAAAACTCCTTCTGCCGAGCCGAAAATCTGCTCACCTCTTTCAGCTCTGCTTGAAGCATTGCCTCAAAAGCCAACCGGCAGGCACGAACAACTTGGGTCAGTCTTTGCTGGACCTTTGTGATTTGGCTACTCCAGGAAGAAGCTGCAGATTCGGACATCTTCTGTTGGGTGGCAAGGTGGGTCTTCAGCACGGCAGTCATGTTCCGAATTGCGGCGCGCATATCTTTGGCCAAAGCCTGCAATGTCTGCTTCTGGCCAGAACGCCAGTCCTGGCGCAAGGACGCGACAATACCCTGACTCACCTCCTTTGCCCAAGCCTGCCGAGTGGAGGCTAAGTCCAGGTCAGGCTCCTGAGGATGCGGGGAGCTCGCCAGTTTCTTCAAGGGCCCCAGGTGGGAATCAGTCCGGTCTGTCACAGCCGCAGTAAACTTCGCTTTCGACTCCGCGTCGGTGAAGCACCGCCTCACCACATCCAGCTCCTGTTGCCGTGCTGCAAAGTACATCTGGAGAAGCTCGTTGGAACCGGTCACCCAACGGCGATTCTCGGCGGAAGCCATGCAGCTAAAGCGGTCCAAAGCCTTACCGACCGACTGCTCTTCTTCCACTCGTCGCTGTCGCAATGCTTCCTCTTCGTCGCTAGCATTAGCACCCATTGATGCAAGAGCCGTGGCTGGTTGTTCCCATCTGTCCTCAACAAGCTCCGCCACGAGGGCATGTCGGGCAGTGTCCGTATATCTCCCCAGAAGATGGATAACATCCAAAAGGAACGGATCTGCCTCACTGCTCATCGCAACCGGGGACAACAAAGGAAATCTGTTACACTACGACCGAACAGTCGGAAGAGGTTCTAGGTTCGAGAGTCGGACGGTGATTCGGACTTCCTGGTGAAAACTCATCCCAAGGATCGACCCAATGCATAAGCCTCATGTCAGGGCATGCTCCTGCTTTGATTTGAGCAGCGAGACATGGGGACGACATGCAGCATTGAAAAACGCAACTTTGGTGCACTCCCGACTACTTATCTGCCTTTGACCGCAGCAAGTGACTGTAAGCACGGAGCTGAAGAGATGCCGAGGAACCTAGCCCGACCAACATGTGGATAATTCTCTAGGTTAGGGTCCCGCTTTAGGTCCCGATACAGCACGCCAGCCGAATTTAAGAAAACCCTCAAAGTTAGGGACCCTGATCTGGAGAACTAGCCCTGTGTGTTTTGCGGGTCCTCTGCCTTTCCTCCCCAGAGGATTCGCTTCAGCAAGCCAGGCTTCTCCTTTGCATTCGCTCCATGAGATGCCACAGTCGAAGGCTCCGGGAAGTTGATGAATACCTATGGTAATCGCAAGTCATTACGAATACGAGTACGAATACTACTAAAAGAATGTCAACTACTCCAATGCTATAATACTGCTACTAGTGCTAATACTGATTCTGATTCTGATGTTGATACCAATCGACAGCAACTGTCTCCTCTTCGGCTGGAGGCGGCAGCGGAGGAGGCGGAGGGGGCGGCTCCTGTGAGCAAGAACATCTGAAGACGTCGGCCGCTCACAAAAGGCAAGCTCGGCACTCGGCACCTCTGCTTCCTCCACCTCCACAAACGACGAGTCATCCTGCCAAGGGCTGTATCCCGCTGGTTCGCATGCTTGCGCCATTGAACGCAGTGTCGCCTTGGTATCCTCTGGAGCACCATCGGCACACTTTGGCCTGACTTTCTGCGAGCGAGACCACCAGCTCAGAATAGCGGATCGGGAATCAACACGTTGCAGGAAGCGGGTTGACGAGTTCACCGCAAAGAGACATGCGGGTGCCGAGTGCTCCTATTTTGCCGTCTCGGTGTCGTGGCTCGCCGTTGATCTTTACATACTGTGCTTTTGCGCAGCCATCGTGCTGTGGTCATGTCTTGGATTCGACATCAAAAGCTACTTTTTCGGTCAACTCTGTGACCGGCTCTTCTGGCAATGGCGACGCCAGGCACCGAGACTGCCACGTCCCTCCCTCGAAGTTTTCGATTTTTCTGTAAGGCTCATGCGACTAAGCTCATGCTCGCGTCGGGGAGCGGCTGGCCTTGCTACCCATGGCCCATAGAAGCCTTCTGAAAGAAAAACGGATGGCCCATCTCCAATACCCTTCAGCAAACATCCCCAAGATATGCATGAACTTCTGCATGTGTCTGCATGTGCTACCCAATGGCACACATGATTGGAAACGCTGCCGAGAAATCGAATTAACTTTTCGCTGAGTCAGGCCACTTCTCCACAAAGAGGTGGTCTCAGCAGAAGCTGCTCTCACGGGCCGACAATCTCCCCTCGTTCTGTACAGGTCTATACAAATCTCGTTGAGTTGAGTGCTCATCAACTGCTCGCCTTGCCTGAGTCCGACCAAAATTTAACCCTGCGGGCATGGCGTTTACAAGTCAGATCGCTGGTGCCATTCTGCACATTTCACGGCTGTGTCTGGCAGCCCAGGTAGGTACCTCGACACCTATCGCTGCAATGTCACCAGCATTACAAATCTTGCCCGCCCGCGAAGGGTTACGCACAAGTCATGAATTCTGGGACGTTCGGCAAAGCTGCACTTGTGTGCCACAGTTGTGTGCCACAGTCAACCCAACAACAGTTGACATTCATTTCTCCAGGCCAGCAGAACACGGGAGTAATACGAAGGCTAGGCGTTGGATTCACAGTCCGTGCAGCTGAGGGTGGATACCCGGGTCATGGTGCTCGAAGTCTCACCGTCAGAATCTGCATATGCTGCTTCTTTAATCGGGCTGTCCAACGGCCCAGTAATCGCTGGCAAAGCGCGGGTAGTGCCTTGGCACCAGGGACATGTGATTGCACCCTTTACCTGGAATTCACGGCATTATCCAGACCAAGTGGTTGAGCAGACCAACACCCACCGATGCTTTGGCCAAGTCACTTTCTTTGGAAGCAAGCCCGCCGAAAAAAGCTGTCCACAGGCCCTCCACGCAAGAGCCTTGCAACGGTACTGAAGGACTGTGGCATCAGCTTCGTTTTTGGAGGGAGGCCTCGCACGTCGGCATTCGGCATCGGCGAATTGTCCAACTTGCGAAGCGCTGCGACAAGCAATTGGCCTGGAAGGCACCCCATGCCGGTGGACAAAGGCTTACCGGATTTTGCTAGCTTACATTGCCGCAAAGCTTCGGCGGTGAGCACGACCGTGGTGCACCACCCCAGGTTTCGGGGCGCAGCCGGACTCCTTCTTCAAAAGGTTCCTGCCCAAGGTTCAGAAGTGCTTAACTCTCTTTTTTTTGCACTCTCCATCAGATTGAATAAACGGTTTCCCAGTCAAGCATCACGAAGCGAGCTTCGGTTCCCCGGCCTGCTGACCAACATGGCTACGACCAAGAATGCTCAGAAATGACAGTAAGTAAATCCCTGGTGGGGTTGCGATGTACTTGCATAACTCTATGCACTTGGAACATGTCTTGCGAAACCGGTCGCAGCCACTGATCCAAAAAGGCAACCAGGGTCAAACTCCGCTGTTTCACGTCCTCACGCCCTCTTGACGCACAGCACAAATCGGAGCGCCTCCATGGCAAACCTGCTGAAAAGATGCGGCGACAGAGACAAAGAAAGCGGGTGGCGCCGTGCCTTCCGCGGAAGCTTCGGCCTCGGAGAAGTTCTGGGACAGCGACCGCAACTTCTCCACCTCAGACATCCGGCACAGGACGCAGAGCCAAAAGAAAACGGGCCAGCCAGGGGCCAGGCACATGCCTCAATCTGACTCCTTGGAGTTCCATGGAGCGCCCCAAGAAACCGGGTAATTAGGTCGGCTGACGACATTAAGAGCGCGACCTGTTCAATCGTCTCGATTCGTACCTGGGCATTCCATGTCGACACGAAGCTGTACGCATGATGGCTACATTTGCATAGTCTAGCCATATTTGGCATGTCACGGCCTTGACGCGGACACCGAGCTCCCCACACATTGGCAAGAAACTTGATGATGTTGGGCCAATCTGAGGCCAGCCTTCTGATGACGCAACAGGGTGCTCTCTATCTTACAGCTGTACCATCACGAAGGCTCAGGCCAGTCCAGCACGGGCAACTCCGCCCCTGGTGCTGTGAGTTGTTTCTGAGGTTCATCTGTCTTGTCACTGCTCTTCGCTACCAGTAGCGGATTGCGACTGGCCTGCAAAGCCTCCTGCCCACCCCCCGTCCGAACACTAGCCGCTTTCGTTCAGTTCAGGATGTAAGGTGCTCAATTCCGTGGCCCTCCGCGGCAGATGGATGTATTGAAAAGAACCGAAGTCATGGAGGCGTTCCCATGATGCATGCACACACAGAGCATGACGGCACCCAGTGTCGGCTGTGCAAGATGCGAACCCGACTCTCGAAGGGGCCAAGGGACATGAACTGCCCGAAAGCCCGTCGGACCACGGCAGACCCGGCCTGGAGCCTCCATTGCCTCCCTGCCGACAGCCGTGCCGGCCAGGCGCGTCACGCCACGGCAGAACAGGGAAAGCGCCTGGCCTGACTCATCACCTCTGCAGGGAGCGGATGTCAAAACCACTTTATGCTAAGCTCCATCTTACCGAGACGAACATGGCTGTTACGCTCGGAACCCGGCCAACCACATGCCATCTGCACGAGGCCATGAGTTCGCGACCGCGTTGCAGCGGTTCCAGAATCATCCTTCGGTGTTCGTTGGACCCGGTCGTGCGCTGCTGTCACTGACTCAAAGAAAGTCAACTCCCAAAGCACAGCTCGGGTCCGGCGTGTATCATCATCCAGCTTGGCCTGTGAACTCCCAAGAAACGCTCAACTTCCACCAGGTTTCTGTAGTAGCCCAACTAAGTCCCAGGCCGGACTCGTAGGCGAATCTGGCCGGCACCTGCTGTCCTGAGATCACGACTGATGAAATAAGATGGGCATCAAACATCTGAAGCCTGGGCTTAAGCATTAAGGAAAAAAGGGCCGCTAGAAGCCTCGGAAGCGTAATGCCACGCTGCATTATTTTGTGATTTCTGTGGACTCGAACTGCTTGCCAACGCGCCGCTTAGCACGACAGGCTTCAACGACAAAACTTACGGAGCAACAGGTTTCACTGTCAAAAGAAGCCGGCGTGCTGTCATGCATCACTCGGCGGCGCTTCCAAAAGAGAAGCGACAGCCGTCATGTCAGCATCTTTGGTTACCTGGGCTCGCATATGTTTGAAAGGATGGTTACCACAGGCACAGCTCTCACAACGCATGCCTGCCTCTGGGTTTTCCAAGAGGAAACCTTTCAGCTCTAGAAGCAGCTCTGGTGAGCCATGTGCCACTTTGAGCCATGACCTGCATCATGTGTCTGCAACATGTTGCCATGCGACACACGTGAGGCGCGAAAGCCGCGAGCCTGCTATTCAGGAATTGCTTCAAATTTTCGACGGCTCGAGATGCCAACCGCTTCTTGCTTCCACAGCCTTGATTGCAAGATCTTGCAAGTCATGCCTCAATGGCCATGGCACTTGTCTGGGGCAAGGAGCTAACCATGAGCCGCAGCATGGCTGCCATGTCATGCTCTTCGAAGGATCCTTCGAGGGCGTCCGGCTGCAAAAGGCCCAATCGCACCTCGCCGAACCTGCCGCCGCACGATTGATTGCGAATTTGATATGAACCAACCGAGGCATGCGGCAACTGCGGCAACACACCCCGAGGCCGAGGCAATTCCCGTTCGTGTTCTGCCCGGCTGTGTTCAGGCAAACTGTGCAGTCTGCCGGCTTGCTGCACCAAATCGGCAAGTTTTTTTGCCGGATCCGGCGGCATGGCGGCTCAAGCACTCAAACTATGAACAAGGGCACATCATGTGGTGTGCTGTTGTCGAATGCAAGCTAACCGCAAGTTGTGAGTTCTGAAGAGTGGTGTTTGAGCATGGAGCTGGCTTTGGACCTCCCGTCACCTTTCCTAACAAATACAGCTAACCACATGCAGCTATGATTGTTCTGCGCTTCATTTGCAACTCTGCTGTCTTTGAGCGAAGGCTGGATGGCAGGTTCGATTTTTTGCCCGCCCCNNCCCCCCCCCCCCCCCCCCCCAATCGCCAGCTGTCTGTCGACATGCTACGACTCAGCATACCCTCACGGAATCACTGGGCCCAACAATGCTCAACATGCCAGGATCTTGTACAAAGTTCATTTGCATTAGCAGTTGTCGAGCAAACTGCTCTGCCAGCACGCGGGGGTGAAAGCTTCAAGCAAGCAAAGCGTGCCCAGAAGGCATGAATCACGTCGACATTTCATCATGCTGAGAAATCATTTGTACAGTCGGGCAGAGAACGCCTTCCCTTCTGAGTCACGCCCTGCACCAATAACGATGCTCGTCGTCACTGCTCTCGCCTCCACTGCTGGATATGCTGGCCTCGGCGACTGCCCAACGGTTCAAGACATCCCACCCAATCTGTCGTGCACTGACGGCACTTCGCCTTCACGTACCTCTCCTTTGCATGAGCTCTCCAAACCGAGAGAGGGACGACAATTTTCGCGTCCCCTTTTTCAGCATCGGCCGACCTGCAAGCTACACGCTGAGCGAGGACCACAACAATATCACTACAACAGGAAGCAGGCGGCAGACAGTAGATTCCGCAGGTCCTAAGCGCAAGACGCCCGAGCCAGGGTCCTGCTATCGGGCCTGAAAAGGATGGGCGGGGGGTTTAGGGTTTAGGACTTCGGGTTTAAGGGTGTAGGGGCTTTGGGTTTAGGGGTTAGGACTTAGGGTTTAAAGGGCTTGGGGTTAAGGGCGTATGGTTTAGGGTTTAGTTTAGGCGTTAGGGTTTAGGTCTTAGGGACATCGCCCTTCTGTTCCCAGGAACCACAATCACGCACCCACTTCAGGCAGACATCCAACAAGGGCAACACAAGATCAACACTCTTTCGTTGGATAATAAGAGAACTGCAATAGAGGTGCCAGCTGACCTTGATGTACTGTAGAATGCGAGTCCTGACAGCACTGCCCCTGGTTCAGAACCTCGGGTTGAGGCCTCCTTAGGAGTGAGCATGCCATGCAAGAATGGTCGTATCAAAGCTTTACCGCTTAAAGACACTTGATCCAACCAGCACATGTATGCTGAAAAAATTATGTCTCATGCCATTGAGATTTCCGCATAGGACAGACAGTGTTGCGATTCGCTTAGTAATGGTTTGCGGTCCTAAACGGATCATTAACCCCCGGCCCTTCGCGGAATCCTCTCAGCAATGCCATAGCATCCTACAGCCGTCTCCAACACGTTGCAAGGCCAACACGCTTGCCCTTACCGCATGTTTCGTTTGATCTCAAATTCAATTTCTGATTCCACTATACTACCGCCGCAACAGCATCTCATGCTGCTGCAGGAATCTAGCCACCTGTGTCTTGTCGGCCTTCTTTCCCCTAGTGGCTTGTTACTGTCTCACGCTGCTGCGGTGTGCATGTCAAGCTATGGCTTTTTGTTGCCTCCTGCATGGCTTTAGCTGCTGCAGTTTTGGCTGTCCTGAAATACTAGCGGAACCATTTGGCGGCAAGCCGCTGTTCAGCTGCAGCTTTCTCGTTGAGCACCAACCTCTGGAAGTCCTGGTGCGCGAGATTTTCAATATGGCAGACGATTGCTTTGAACTTGCACTGCATGTGTGAAAGCTGATTCCGGTGCATCAGTGTATCAGTTGTTGCTTTGATAATTTAAGCCGCAGGCTCACATTCTGCATGAGTCGGGAATGTGCTAAAACCCAAGAAAATCCAGTAAGGCGGAACAAACATGACTAAAACATTACAACAAACAACAGTACCGGTTCCATCTCGTGGCCCCAAGCTTGCGAGAACATCGTATGTCTCCCGGCTGTGGTTCGTCACATGAGACATCAGCTAATGAAAGCACGATGTTACTGTGATGATTTTTCAGCGTCCTATTGATACAGTTCTGGCACTTTTCTACTCTTCCACACGATTCTGCACCTGATGGAATTAAGGTACCAAGTCGCACCCTTTCCAGGTTTGTGGCATCACCAGGCGGTTTAACGATTCTAGTTTGTGACGACTGATTCCGCATCTCTAGAATTCGGGATTGCCATATACCTATTCTGAGTCATGATGTCACAATCCATTGTAAGCTTGCCTTGTCGAAGTACGGCTTCGAACTGCAGTTTTATCAAGGTTGTCGGGATGCCGTTTGCTTGTCTTCTGCATGGCTGAGCGAGACACGAAGCAGGCCTCTGGACACATACTAGTACATTCAGGGTGGCAGCATTTCATGCTGCAGTCATCAGAGGTTTTATGCAAGCCAGGATACCGTTGCTTAGTGCGGTTAGTGTGGTGTAGTGTTCACCCGTTGGCATGTTGGTTCATGAGCATGCTGGAAAGTAGCATCTTATGCTCGCAGAACTGATTTGCCAGTGACATACTATCTGATACTGTCTGTAGCTTGAGGCCAAGCACGAAGTCCATGCACAAGTGGGTCGCAGAAACGGGACCACAGCGCGAGACCTCATAACTTACGGTGTGCCATCGACATCGTCCGTGCTTGGGGACCATGCAAGACCGGCAAAGCGCACCGCATCTTCGTGATACAATATATACCTGAGCAAATTGAGTCTGGTACCCGTCGTCAAAAGTCACTCTACGTACGCACGTTCATGATCGTTTATCTGGCTGTGTCTGCATATATATATATATGTATATATATATATATATATATATGTATATCTATACATATATCTATACATATATCTATATATATATATACATATATACATATATATAAATATAAATACACACATATATATACATATATGCTCATATATGTATGTGTGTATGTACGTACGTACGTACGTACGTACGTACGTACGTACG